CCAGCCTGGGCTACTAAGTGAGTTCCAGGAAAGGTGCAAAGCTACACAGAGAAACCCTGTCTCGAAAAACCAAAAAAAAAAAAAAAAAAAAATTAACAATTAAATCACATCAACACCCTGGAATGTCATTTAATCATGTGCATGCATACATTACCCATACACTGGAGGATGTTTTTGTTTGTTTTATTGAGGTGCACACAGGGTCTTGAACTCCTGATCCTCCTGATCCTACTTCCCACATACTGTGTACTATCATGCCCAGCTTAGTCACTAATACTAGACAGCTAGCTCTTTAGGGCCCTATGAAAGATATTGAGTCCTTAAAAAGTATGCAAGATGTTTTTAAAAGTTCCCTCCCAGAATGCAAGCCAGAAGCAGTGGCACATACCTGTAATCTCAAAACTGCAGAGTAAGCCGGGCAGTGGTGGTGCACACCTTTAATCCCAACACTTGGGAGGCAGAGGCTGGTGGATCTCTGTGAGTTCGAGGCCAGCCTGGTCTACAGAGCGAGATCCAGGAAAGGCGCAAAGCTACACAGAGAAACCCTGTCTCAAAAAACAAAAAAACAAAACAAAACAAAACTGCAGAGTAGTGTCAGGAGTATCAGAGATTCAAGACCAACCTCAACTACATGAGATCTTATCTCAGCAAAACAAAAACAAAAGGCTAGGAGATTTTTTTTTTAAAACAATAAAAACCATAAAGAGTTTTCAACTTATAGTTGACTCAGCAGATGATCAAATGTTTCTCCTTTCCTTCACACATATCTTGACACACATTGTTAAAATTGACGTTGTTCAAATGTCCTGAAAACTTGTATCTTATTTAATGAGAATTAACATGGTGATAAATGATTTTAATCAAGATATTAAGACCAAAACCATTTTTGTAAAGTATTTACCTAACATTTTACTTATCTGTTAAATTTAAGATTTGAGTTAGAATTAATAATTTGATTTTAACACCTCCACAACTCAGAAATGATCTAGTTCAGTCACATCATTACTTCAAAGAATCTGAACTAAGAGATGAAATAGACAAGAACTACGACTATAATCTCTCTTTTCCAAGCAGCTGCCTACTGTGTTAGTTTAGACCCATTAATTCAATCTTCTAACTCATGTGTGATGCAGCAAATTTTCTAATAATACCTGCCTGGGATACAACATCCTTTCTAACATTCCCTTCTCCAATTTTTAGGAAAATGGATACTGTTAGTAAAGTAAGATTCTGTCAATGAGATTAGCATTGTGTCATTTTATCGGCCTCCTACAATATGGAAGAACACAATCATTTTTTAAAATGTTAGACTGGCAACTCTGTTTTATTGGTGATGTATTCAGTCCTGGAAAGGACTATGGTACAGCACTGCTCCACCCAGGAGAAAGCTCAGGTTGCTTTGTCTCTCTGGTACAGTGTCATGGCACCCTATCTAAGACTCAGACAGCTTCTCATTAAAAACCATTAAACCATGTGGGTGTGACTCCTTTCACAGCCTTTGTCCTTTTTTTTTGTAGCACAACAAATGAAGGTCATGTACAGTCTAAACAAAGCCCCATTTTATTCTGTTTTGGTTTTGTTTTATTTGAGACAGTGTTGGTTCCCCTGTGTGATTGGGTGTCTGTAGCCTGGTATATAGATCAAGTGGCCTCCTGCTTCTGCCTCCTGAGTGCTGCCATAAAAGGTAGGACTAGCAGTTTGAATTTTCTTCAGGATTATGATCCACTTTTTCTTTAGTTAATAACATTTCACAAAACTCTATAAGCTGAAAACTAATAGTAATAAATTCTTAATTTATCTACCAACCTTTTCTGCTTCTCATATGGGCCAAAAATGTCCAAATGGTATACCTTTTTCTTTATAACAGATTAATTATCACAACAGCTCAAACCACTGAGAGCGTTTGGATTTTATAAACACAAGTCAGAAATGACAAAAATTAAAACAATCATTTTCCTAACAACCAAAGAAATAAGACTAGCTCGGATGCATGATTCAAACTCTTATGGGTTAACTTTTCTGCAGAACTCTTCAGAATTTAAAAAAATCAATGCCAAAGAACACTGGTTGCCACCTCTGCTTACAATTCCAATTTACCATACTCAGTGGAATGGCTAAGGATAACTTACCCTGCCATGGTGACAACTATGAGAAAAGACAGCATTTTTTGAATAACAAAGACAAGGTGTGATGGCTAACTGGCTTTTCAGGAGAATTTAACAGGTTAAGAAAAACATCTCAAGTTAAAAGTAATGAAAAAGCAGGGTCAAAGTACTTAGGAACTGCCTTGAGCCTAGAGTTGTCCTAGTAAATAAAACTAATGCTTCCTGCTTGGGACAGTTTGTCTCCTGAGATACAACTCAACGTGAAGACTCTTGTTGACATGCAAACCAAGGCACTTTCTAATACCGAATATTGCTTGAACCTCTCCCAAAATCCAATCATGTCCAAGAACATTTAAATCTACTCTTGGTAAAAAAATTAAAAGCTACTCTTAGTCATTTTTGATTTACTACATAATTTTTTTCTTAGTTTCATTTCATAAAACTCCTGCAAATTTTTAAATAAATAGAGATGGACCTTAGTTTCTGTGTCTAGTGACACTGTTTGACAGGAAAGTACAGAGACTGTGTCACCGCTGTCCCTAATAATACTTTTCCCAGAAGAGTATAATTGAACTGCAGATCTAAAGTCTCACCTGAATTGACACTGTTGCCCCCAATCCACGTTTACTCAGCAATGCAAGGACCTATGTTCTCACTCATCAGAAGCAAGTATTCATGGCTGCATCCAGAGCGCTCAGAGGAAGAATATCATCTGACAACACTGGGAATAGTCCCTATAACTGTTTATTAGGATGGGAATATACTCCAAATCAATAACTAAAAAAGTCAAATTACAGAGCATGCATAAAATACAAAGTAGCAATTTATAAATAGACAGTATCTTTATAATCAATACACTAAAATAACAAAGAGCTACAAAGAAAAACGAAATGACTGACTATAGCAATGCCTTCTGTGCTCCCCACACATCATGAGCACTGCAAAAAGCGGAGGATTAACCATGAAACATAGTCTTCTATGCAAGCCCACACATTTTTGTTTTTTGCAGGTATCCCACCATCCTGAACAATATCTTTGCAGTTAACTTTCAGAAACTGCAGAGTAAGTGCTTACTATTATCCACAAGGAAGTAAAACCTAGTATTAGTGTGCACATTTCTGAATGAGAAACTAGCTGCTCCATTAATTTCAATTACGTAGTGGAAAAATCTATTTCAGGACCCTACAATGCCTAAATGCATTCTACTTAAACTCAAGGTACTATTTCATTTTACATACCAAAAGAACACATGCCTTTAAGTGGTACCACTTGAGCATAAATTAACCTCTCACTGTATTCTTTAGACATACTAAAACCAAAGGTTTAAAAGAACTATATTCCATTATACACGGTAGAACTCAAATATAAGCATTGTTAAAATAATTACCCATGCTTGTTGGTGGATATGGTGATAAAATTAGGCTGCATTTCACTTACTAGAAGGGCTTAAAAACAAAATTAACACTTCAAAATGTGATATGACTAGCATTAAGCTAGTTATTGCATGAGCAATAAAAATGTCACACAATCTACTGCTGGGAAATGAGACTGGTTAAGCTACTCAGGCTGCCGATCACTGCAACAGAGACACCGAAGTCCACTAGCCTGCCAGGCAGCAGGTTAACTTATGACCCCATAGCCATGATGCCCTCCCTACACATAATATAACAGTCCTTTGTATTTATTAAGATAATTCTTTTCCAGGAAAAAAAGAATCCCCATCATCTTGGATGCTTACAAAAACTAAAGAAAAAAATTTACAACATAGACCTATTAAGGCATTTTAAAAATTGACTTCCACAATGGAAAATCTTCAAGCTCTCAAAATGCTGTTATGTTTATAGAGCAATCCTTAGGTCTGTCAAAATATGTACTGCATTGAGAAGAGTCTTACAAGCTGCTCTGTGGCAAAATAATAGCTTGTTTCTAAGGTTGTCTTAGTTAGATTCGATCAGGACCAATGGGTCTGAGCTTCAAGTGATCAAGTTCTATTATGTTCTACAGTGACAGGCTTCCATGATGAAGAGTAAACAATAACTGAGGAATTCAAACATTCAGTTTATTAAACTAAGGCTAGAGGAGCCATAGCATGAAAAAGAACTGCAGTCATTCAGGACAAAGTTGATGATTTTATAAAGCCAAAATCAAAAGACTTAAGACATGAGAAGATTCTTAAGTGTGAGGAAGTAACAAGACACAGAAAGTGACCACAAGAATTACAAATATATTTAAATCTCAGACCTGGGAAATGGACTATACACAGCCTTCTAGGGGAGAGAGACGCCTTAGATGTTCTGACAGCATTGCACCTTTGGCTTGTTCTCAGTGGTAGGTGGAACATGAATAGGAACCACATTGTTGCTTGGAGACATGTCATTTTCACGTCTGTCTGACATTTGCTTCTGAGAAACAATGCGGTATATCTCTGGATGACAAAAGAAACAGAAACGCTTAGCGTGTGTAAACCCACGAAGAGTTTATGTGAAAGAGACGAAGACATGCAGAACAGAAAACACACATTTACATTTTATTTTTAGGCCAGGCATGGTAGTGCACATCTGTGATCCCAACACTTGGGAGGTGGAGGCAGGAGAATTAGGAGTAGAAGACCAACCCCGGCTACATAGCAAGTTCAAGGACAGCCTGGCTACAGAAGATCTTGTCTCAAAAAGTAAGATTTTAGTTTCCAATAGCCACTAGCTAGAGTCAAAGCATTATTTTTAACAATTTCTGTTACAGTAAGAAAAGTAACAAGGTTTGTCCATTTCAGAGGGGAAAGTTCACCCATTAATTAAACAGCACCACATTAGACAGTGTCATATTTATGGGCATAGATTCTAATTAAATCGTAAAAATATATACTTAGCCCTCCACAAAAAGTCCACACAAACTGACAATGTGTAAAATAAATCTGCACTATCAGATACACCTAACTGTTTTCTAGGTTCTGTAGGGAAGAGCACCATTTCTCAAACACAGTAAAATCCCAAGAACTTCAGAAGAGAAAGGGCCCTCTGCTTACACTGTCCTCCTCTGGGGCTAAGGTTAAATTATACTTACTTATTCAAAGGAGATAATCTAAGATGTACATGTACTATTTTACTTTCATGACATATATCAAGATTAATCTTGTAGTCCTCCACTAAACATTAGTCATTTAAAGACTAAAATTATTTGCTTCCTTTTGCTTTAGTCCCATAGAATAGATGCTTGAAGAACTACTTGCACAAGTAAACATCACTGAATGTCTCCCAGTATCTGTACTGAATTCACTGAAAGTGGCCTTGCACTGCACTACCTAATCAAACAACAATATACTTCTCAAGAACAGAGAACACAGGCTTCCATATTGCCTTTCCAATGTTCTTTCTGAAGCAATACCATCACAAGGTAGGGAACTCCAGAAACATCAATCCAATAGGATGCACTAGGAAGAACATAACGTACTCCTATGTGGGCTCCATGTGTCACTGACAAACCTGCTCTCGGTGAATTTGCTCGTGCAGAAATAGGACAGATACAGAATCAGATGAGTATAAATTTTCTACCTCTGCTACCCAATACAGTAGCTAACTATTTAAATAAAAATTAAAACCCATAGCTACGCATGGGGACACAGAGCTTTTAATCCCAACACTCAGGAGACAGGCAGGCAGATCTCTGTGAACTCAAAGCCAGCCTGGGCTACATAGTAAGTACCAGGCCAGTCAGGGCTACATAGTGAGATTTGTCATTAAAAACATCAAAAGGTAATTCTATAATTATTAATAAACGGGAAAATCTGAATAATAAATCTGAAAATAAGAACTGCACACTAGAAATACTACAGACATACCAAATTTTTTAGACCTACAGTCATATGACTATGTAGGACCATGCTTTACTCATATGAGATAAAATGTTTAAACTTTAAAAGTATAAAATTACACAGTTAAAAACAGAAAAGAGAGATATATGATCAAAATGTTCCAAAAAGGTTGGATGTGGTGGCACATGCCTTTATTCTCAGCACTTGGGGGACAGAGGCAGGTGGATGTTTCTCTGTGAGATAAAGTACAGCCTGGTCAGCATAATGAGTTCCAGGACTGCCAGAGCTATGTAGAGAAACCCTTCTCAAAACAAGTTCCCAAAACACATCAACCAACTATAATGTATAAACATTATCTGGATCCTAATTTAAACTGCAATTTTTTAAAACTCTTGAGTATGTTTAATATTGTTTAGATAACAAATAATAAGAAATTTCTACAAATCTTAAGTAGTTGTGTTATGAATTTAAGTTACAATTTTTAGATGCGTATTCTGAAATATTTGCAAATAAAATGACTTATTATCTGGGATTTACTTCAAAGTAATAAAAATGGTCATAGGTCAGGAACTGACACTAAAGGTTACTAAAATGGACTAGTAAGATCTATTCTGCTTTAGGTAAGCTGGAAGCATACTTACTGCTCTTGCAGGGCCTGGGTTTAGTTCTCAGCACCCACAATGGTGGCTAACACAATCTGTAACTGCAGTTCCACAGGATTCAATGCCCTTTTCTGGCCTCCATGCACACTAGGCACACATGTAGTACACACACATCCATAAAGGAAAGCATTCATACACATAAATTAAAATAAATATATCTCTGAAAAAATCAGTTCCCCTAAGGTTGAGCAATAGTAACTTAATAAATGAGGCTGGAGACATGGCTCAGTGGTTAGGAGAACCCACTGCTCTTCCAGAGGACCTGAGTTCAATTAATAGCACCCATGTCAAATGGCTTACAACTGGTCCTAATTCCAGCTCCAGGAGCATCTGACTCTTCTGGCTTCTTTCATCGCCCCCAGACATGAGGCATACACTCAAAACACACACACACACACACACACACACACACACACACACACACACGCACGCACGCACGCACGCACGCACGCGCGCGCGCACACGCACACACATTAATATATGAACTAACAACACTCACCAAAAATGTGCCTTTTATATAGTTTTTTAGAGAAGTAGCTAAAATTTGTCTGAGAAGGTTGGTAGTGGTTCAAAGGTGAAGGAGCATTAGTAGAGAAAGAATACAATAAAGTTTAAAAATATGAACACAAAGGGTATGGTGTTGCCAGATCTTTCATTCAGAGGAGATAGGGATGGCCATTGAGATGGTCCAGTGGATAAAGGTACTTGTCCCTAACCCTGACAACTTGAGTACAATCCCCAAAAGCTCCACGTTAAAAGGAGAGAGCCTAACTCCTGAAGGTTGTCTTCTGACCTTCTCTCATACTGTGGCACTCAATAAGCCCCACGACGACACAAAACAGTATTTTAAAAATTGTTTTAAAAGAAAAAAAGCCAGATGTGATGGCACATGCATCTTTAATCTCAGTGCTTGAGAGGCAGAGGCAAAAGGTAGGTGGATCTCTGTGAGTCTGAAACTAACCCAATCTACATAGTGAGTTCCAGGCCAACCAGAGCTCCACAATGATACACTATCTCAAAGAAGAAAAGGGGATAGGGTTGGGGGTAGGAAGAGGGAGGCAGGAAGAGAGAGAGGAATGCAAGAAGGAAAGAGAAAACAGAAAAAAAGAATGGAATGGGAATGCATCCAGGGCAAAGAAAGAGTTCCCTTCAGGCTAGTGACCAAAAAATAATAATGATCAACTTGTGGTTAAACTATACCATTCATTCTTTATGTTGTCCACTAATACCTAACTGGATAGACCATCTTTTTGAAGAGAAAATCATTAAATATGTGATCTCTGTTAAAATTCAACTTCTTTACAAGCTGTTCAAAAGACTAAGTTAAGGGAACAAAACCAAAACATCAGAAACTCCTCCATGAATTACAAATGCATACAATGCCAGAAGAGAGACAAAGGGAGACTTCTTAGAGGACAGAGAAGTAAATAATTAAAGAGAGCTCATTACAAAGCAAGAAACTTGAGCAGTGTTGTGCAAGTCTCAACATCTCAACATTCTTCTAGAAATGGTAACGCTGCTGTATATACTCCTGTCACTAAAAACATACCCACTTTTGAAAAATACCAACACGGCAATAAACAAAACGAATCAGGAAAAGAATTTCTTCATATCTAAACAGTTTTAAAGAGCTCCACGAGTAATTTACTTAAGTCTCTTGTGTTGGGTGTGTCATTTTCTATGATAAGAAAATAGGAGCCAGGAACTGTCCAGCAGGGATCTGATTATAAAGAGTTATTTCACGATGGGGGAGGGGTCAGTAACATGCTAAGTAAGAAGCAGGTTCTATACTTCCTCAAGGGTCTGTTCTCCTTTAGAACCAAATGAACGTAATCAGTTAATTCCCATGCAGTCTCTTTTCAAGATGTCCAAAGGTTCGGAACAACTAGGAAAAAGCAATCCTGCTTTATCGTCCATCAGACTCTCACATAGGAGATCTAAACATAAAGTGAAATACTAATATATTATGGCTTTAAACAGAAGGCAAAGCTACCTACGAAGACATGAAGTCTTTTTTTAATCTACTGGAACTGTGGAACAGCTGGGAAAATAACTCTAAGGAGACTACACACAACTGTTCCAAACTAAGGAACGACAGGGTTAAAACTTGTTAGCTCCACAGGTGCTGGAGAGGCAGCTCAGAGGTCAAGAGTACTGGCTGCTGCTCTTGCAGAGGACCCTGGTCTGTTCCCAGGCTCACAAGGCAGCTAACTCACAACCACCTCTAACTGCAGTTCCAGGAGACCTGACACCCTCTTTGGATCTCCTCAGGCACGTGGTTACACACACTCAGGTAAAAAATTCTTTTAAAAAATTCTTTAGTTCCTCCAAAGTTTTTTAAAACCCAGGAGCCTGGGTAATTTCACAACAGCCTCTGCAGAAGCTTCTCATTTATTAAGCTCTTCAAACCTCCTGCTTATCATGTATGTTTCTTGAAGGTCAAAAAGATTCCAATTTGAGATAGCCCGACATTTTCTGCACCAAGTGAGAACAAAGTTACCATTACCTCTAATGAAAAGAGAGTCATTGCTTGGCTGGCAAGATGGCTGAGTGAGTAAAGGTGACCCACATTTCACCCCTGGAAACCATATGGCAGAAGGAAAGAACTGACTCCTGCATTTGTCCTCTGACCTCAACTCTTGTGCCGCATACATATTCACACACAAGCACACAAAAATAAAATGTAATTTAAAAATTGTTTAACAATTCTCTATGTTCTGATGAAGTTAATACCTGGCAACTTTAGCCCCTTCATTTCTCTTTACTTTTGAGACAGGATCTTGTTATACAGCCCATGATAACCTTACACACATACAGCCCCCACATGCCAATATAGGCACGCACCACCAAACTGGCTTTAGCTTTGTTTTAAAGAGCCAGTATGTTACATGAATTAAAGTTATTTCAGTCACAGAACTAAGAGTTTAGCCTTCAAATTAGGAATTTACTTTGAACTTACTAATTACATGGAGAAACCTGGCTAACAGCACCTGAACTAAAGTTTAAAGTTAGAACTACCAATAATAAGACAAACCTATTATCACGAGCCTCCTAACGATGAATTGAAACCACTTGTGTGGTGTTCCTGCCACAAGCTCAGTTTAATCATAAAGAATCACTGAATAAACTCAAAGTGAGAAAATGACAACTGACCTGTACCTTTCCAAAATGCTAAGGTTGGTAAACTAAGGAAAACTGAAGGAACTATTGTCAAGCAGTGGCAGGACACCTCAGTGAGACATATGATCTGGTCCCAGGTTTTTTTTTAAACTAATAAAGTCTTTATTGGAACAACTGGCAAAATATGAGTAAGGTCTGTAGCTAAAGACTGATCTGATTAAGTCACTGTGCTGTGGTTATAAAAGAGAAAGCACTCATTTTTAGTCAATACCTCCACCCCAAAAGACTTAGGGATAAGTATGTACAGCACTTACTTTCACATGGTACTGTATGTCTCTATGTCTGTGTGTGTGTGTGTGTGTGTGTGTGTGTGTGTGTGTGTGTGTGTGTGTGTGTGTAGGGGAGAAGGGAAGAGGTAAATGGAAAGAAAAAAAACACTTAACATTTAAGGAAATGGGAGTTACAGGTACCCACAAATTCTTTTTATTATTGTACGTTTTAATCACCTCTGAAATTGTCAAAATAAATAAATAAAGTTAAAATGAAAAGAGGGTATGAAAAACAGTCGTTAAAACCCTCTCTTAGGGATGAAGCCCAGCTGGTACAGTGCTTACCTGGCATGCTCAAGATAGAGTTGGATCCCTAGCAGCATGCCCCTCCCCAACCCAATCTCCTAGTGAACTTGAGGCAGAAAGAACAAAGCTGAACTGAAAGGCAGGGGTGGAGCAACCCATCAGCCCACCTTGGCACTAGTCAACGACTTCTAAAAGCACCACCAGAAAACCCATGTCTTGGAATCACAGAGGAGTAAAGGATGTAAAGAAAGTGTAGATCTATTGCAAAACATTTCCAATACTATGTAATTTTATATTTGGCTCAGTGGATAAATGTACCTGCCACCAAGCCTAATATGACCCAAAAGCTATAAGGAGCTGTCCTCTGACCACCACATGAACATATGATGACCCTACCCCTGATATAAATGAATAAGATTTAATTTTTAAAAAAATTAAAAATTAAGCCAGGTATAGGAGCACACGCTTTTAATCTCAGCACTTCCAAGGCAGGGACAGGTGGATCTCTGCAAGTTCTAGGATAGCCTGGCCTACATAATGGAAAAGCAAAGACAAAGAAAGTAGGACTTGAAGGCATACTGTGTAGTCAATAAATACTGCAAGCTTAAAACAATCTGCAGTGAGATCCCTTATAACACATTTTTTTTAAAAGCTTCTGTGCTGTGTGCCACCAACTGTCTATTTCCCTCCAGCTCCCTACTGACTGTTCTTCAGCTAACAAAAAACAATTTTATGATATGGTGGCACATGCCTTTAACCAGCACTCTGCAGGCAGAGGCAGGTGGATCTCTGAGTTTGAGGCCAGCCTAGTTTACAAAATGAGTTCCAGGACAGCCAGGGCTACATAGAGAAACCCTGTCTCAAAATAAATAAAATTAATAAAATATTTGCAAGTCTCCAATATTTATATTATTTTAACAAGTTTTCTTTTTCATGTGTTAACTGCTACCTAGGTAGTGATTTATCAAATGTTCACTATCAAGAAGAGCTAAGACCTTGACAGGCATTAACTCATTCTTGGAAACTATAGCAGAAGTACCAATGACATATCATTCTTTGCTGTGGAGTAAAGATAAAAACAAACAACACAACAACAACAAATCCTTCAGGTAGCAATAACAAATTAAATTGTGCCTTATCAAATCATACTGCAGAAATTTAAAAGCATAAGCTCTCTCATGAAACTAATAATTAACCAAAATGTATTTGAAACTTTTTTTAGATTTCTTTTAAATTATGTGTATATGTGTATGTCTATGTGTGTGTTCATGCTCATGTATGTGCAGGCATTCTCAGAGGCCAGAGGAGGATGTCAGATCCCCTGCAGCTGGAGTTACAGGTGGTTATAAGCAGCTTGGCATGAGTACTGGAAACCAAACTCTGGTCCTCTGGAAGAACAGTATGTATTCATAACTGCTGAGCTATTTCTCCAGTCCACCATATCTGAATTTTACAGATGGAGAAATTAAAGCCTTTAAAGGAGTAAATAACTTGCTTAATAAGATTATCACTCCAAAAATAAGTGGAGGAATCAGGCTTCCCAGCCATGATCAAAATTCCTAGGCTTATTATATACATTTTTTTTAACAATAAGAGAATGCTTTAAAGTTAAAATTCTGCTCACCTCTAATACCGGAGCTACATATAGCATTAAAATGTGTTACATTATGCCGGGCGGTGGTGGCGCACGCCTTTAATCCCAGCACTCGGGAGGCAGAGGCAGGCGGATCTCTGTGAGTTCGAGGCCAGCCTGGGCTACCAAGGGAGTCCCAGGAAAGGCGCAAAGCTACACAGAGAAACCCTGTCTCGAAAAACCAAAAAAAAAAAAAAAAAAAAATGTGTTACATTATAATAGGAAACTAAATAATTCTATGTATCAATTTATCAGACCAGCACATAAGACTCTACTATGTGTTGAATAGATCTGGATTCATAAGATCTTAAAAGTAACACATAATATAGGTGTCTTGAAAAACAACCTATGAAAGTACTTCCTAAGAGATTAAATGTACTGATAGTCTGGTTATTCTAATAAAGCCAAAGTAAATATGAGTCAGCACAAATAAAATGTCTTCTTTCCCAAGAAGCTGACCTGGTTATCTACATTCCAAAAATAGCATGAACTTTGTCCCTTTCCCATTACTCATTTAGACCTTTCTATATGCAGGCTTGGCTAATTTTATTTACAAAGGACACACTCCTATATCATGGAAAAAGTATTTGTGCTTTTTTTTCCACTTAAATTTGTTGATGTGATTTCCCTAGTTTTTCTAATTTCTTTTTTATTTATTTGTGTGTGTGTGTGTGTGTGTGTGTGTGTGTGTGTGTGTGTGTGTGTGTGTCTGCCATGTGTGCAGGTACCAGCATCAGATCCCCTGAAGCTAGAGTTAAAGGCAGTTGTGAGCCACTCCATATGGGTGCTGGGCACACAAATCAGTGGCTCTGGAAGAGCAGTAAGTACCCTTAATTTTTATCTAATCAAAAGGCATTTATATTGCTCTATAGTCAGGATCTCAGTATTTACACTATGAAAAAATAAAACTCTGTCCCTGTGGTGAGTATCCCCGCCTGTCACGCGGGAGACCGGGGTTCGATTCCCCGACGGGGAGCCAGATGTAGTGGGTAGCCATTCCAGCTTGGTTCTGGAAGTTCCAACCCCCATTGAGACTCTGGCAACTGTCACACCTACGAGGCGGGGCGAGGGGAGGCGCCGGGGGACCCGAGAGCGGGATGGGCCAGCGCGCTCTGTGGGCGCTCTCTCTGTGCCGGAACGCTGACCGGTGGAGATTGACTGTGCAGAGCTCCGGAGAACACCGCTGGACTGCATTACACCTTCCCCAGACCCTGCGACCTACCCATTACTTAATTTGTGAGTTACGCCATTAAATAAATATCCTTTTATCTATGTGGTGTGGCCAAAATAATTTCTCCAATATCTGGCGCCCAACGTGGGGCACGGACCCACGACCCTGAGAATGTATGGCCTGAACACAAGGAAGTGAACAAATTATTTTCAAAGGATTTTCCTAGATTAGTTCAGTGACTGCAGCATAACATGCAGCATTGTATGGTAACTGCGCACACCAAGGAACTCTTGCTATAGCTACACTCATTGTCAGACAGCCAACGGTTTCCTAATTAACTTGTTAAAATCACTTCCTAAAACTCCAGTTTCCTCTGGTGTAACCTGGAAACACAAGTCTTACCTGTCAGAATTGTCTGAAAAGCAGCTTCAACATTTGTAGAATCTAGAGCAGATGTCTCAATGAACGACAAACCATTCTTCTCTGTGGAGAGAAACATTTCAGTCTTGTGAGATCTGATTGCTGTTTAATAGAGCTGATGATCCAATCCAGGGCCTCACCAGTGCTAGGTAAGCTCTCTACCACTGAGCGTCCTTCCCAGCCTCTGAAGGTTTAAAATAGCAGATGTGATAAGTTCATGATCACAAGGAAAAGATAAAAGATTAAGATCTTGCTGGGCATGGTGGTGCATGTCTGTCACCCAGGACCTGAGAGGTAGAAACAGGCCCAGGAAATCAAGACCAGCCTGGACTACATGAGAAAGTGTGCCCAAACACCAAACAAACAAAGCCTACTTATACCTCAGTAAATTAAAAATAACAGTAAGAAATTTTCATTAGCTTCTAAGTATTGCTGCATATAAGTACCACCACTGGCAATGAATGAAACTATTCAAAATATAGTATCACACACCCCACTACTTCTACCCCTGACCATCTTCCCTAGCAACTACGTAACTAGCAGCATGTTCGCTTAGAATTCTGTTGCTATACTATTTGAAATTTAAAGTTAGAGGAAAGTATTCACTAATACAATGTCAAGACTTCCTAGCCAGCACGGTGCCGCTTTCTTTGGTAGTTTCTCCTACCAGAAGGGCAACAAGAAACAAGCAGATCCTGTATGAAGCCCAAAGTGTTCAGCTTCTAAGGAGGTGCATCCTTGTCGGTCCCTGACACTCCTTGGCAGACTGCTTTTCAGACTCACATAGAACAGCCTTGTTAAAGAACAGAGGCATAATGTTCAAACAGAGAAATGCAGAAGCACTGTAATATTGTGGAGTTCACATTACTAACCTGCAAAAGCTCTTGCTTCATCGGTAGGAACTGCCCTGAGATGGCGTAAATCACTCTTATTGCCCACAAGCATGATAACAATGTTGCTATCAGCATGGTCTCTCAGTTCTTTCAGCCATCGCTCTACATTTTCATATGTGAGATGCTTAGCAATGTCATAAACCAATAAGGCACCTACTGCTCCACGATAGTATCTGCAAACGGAAACATTTGTAACTATCAGAAGACAATCACAAAGTAGAAGGGAACACCAGAAAAAACTCCAAACAGGGACAGGGCAGAAAGATGGCTCTGGTAAAGCACATGCCATCCAAACATGAGGACCTGAGTTAAAATCCCCAGAACCCATGTAAAAGCCGAGGACAGTAATCCTGGTCCTCCTACAGTGAGATTTGGGGCTGGAACAGGAAAACCCCCAGAAGTTCACATGCCATGTACCCTGGCATAAACTACAGTGAACAACAAATATTGCATGTCTCAAACAAGGTAGAAGGTGAGGACATAGACACACACGGACACACGGACACACACACAGAAACTATTTATAGATGTAGTAGACAATAGTTGTCTGTTACATGAGGTTTTATACCTAGTCATCCACAGTCCAAAACTATTAAATGAAAAATTCCAGAAATAAATAATTCCGAAGTTTTAAATTGCCACCATTTTAAGTATTGTGATGGAACTTCTCAGTGCTCTACTTCACCCAGGCCACGACTCATCCTTTTGGCCAATGTACCCACACTGTATAAACTACCTACCCGTTAAAGTCACTTTGCAGCACTCCCATTGCCTATGATCTCCCTTTTGTTCAAGTAACCTTTAGTTTATTGAATAATGCCCCCCAAAGCAACTAAGGCATGCCAAAAGAAAAGCTACAAAGGGTCTATTAGGAGGAAAGATAGGAAGTTGGCTCAACAATTAAGAGCACTGACTGCTCTTGCAGAGGACCTGGGTTTATTTCCCAGCACCCACATGGTGGATTCACAACCATCTGCAACTCCACTTTCAGGGGATCTGATACCCTCTTCTTACCTCCACAGGCACCAAGCACACAAGTGGTACACATACATATATGCGGGCAAAACACGAATAAAAACAAAATGAATTAAAACAAAAACACAGTGGAAACATTCAGAGTTCAGCACTGTTTGTGGTTGGAGGTATCTACGGAGGGTCTTGAAACACACCTTCCAAGGTTAAGGGAGGACTACTGTGCCTTCCCAATACTTAAAGTCAGCAATTCACCTGATACCAACCTAAGTCAGAACTGAGAAACCATGGACTTACGCAGATGTGATAGCCCTGTACCGCTCCTGCCCTGCTGTGTCCCATATCTGCGCCTTTATTGTCTTCCCATCAACCTGGATGCTTCTTGTTGCAAACTCTACTCCAATGGTACTCTTGCTTTCCAGGTTGAACTCATTTCGAGTAAATCGAGATAGGAGGTTACTCTTTCCAACACCAGAATCGCCAATAAGGACAACTGAAAAGACAAAAAATTAATATAAGCTGGATGAAAGCAAGCACATTCAGAATACCAACACGCTTTTAATAGAAGGACGTTTGGCTTCAAAATAAATACAACCAAGGATTTTAAAGAGGCATACACAGTACTAAATAGTATTTATCTATGACCAATCAATTAAAATCCATTTACTTTTTAATCTATCTCTATCTGCATAAGGACTTCCACACATCATCTACTCAGCATAGATCAGACATAGCACCCCATCTAAAAGAATGCCTCTTTTTGTCCTATTTGGGAACTCAAACCCAGGGCCTTACACATGTATGGTAAACACCAGACCACTGATATATATCCCTAGCCCTTAAAAATGCAATTTTGCAATTTTAATCATAGGGTAACCTAGCCACAGATGCAAGTATTAATTACCTTAAATTTATACTAACCTCACTTCCTTGGAAAGTATTCTAGAAGGTAAATAACAACTTGTGTTATTCTCATGTTTTAGACATCAAACAAAAAATGTCAGTGCATGGAGTGGGAAATTGTACATTCTACTAGCTTCATTAAAGACTAGGTGTGATGTGAAAGCTGAAACACATTTAACATGAGGCATGTGACTTACAAGCACTGCTCTGGCCATAGAAACTATAATCATCTTTAATAGTTACACTTCACAGACTGGAAGAAAGCCACAGGGGCGCCCCACCTCACTATGGGCAAACAGGAGCCCTAGGAAGCTAACAATTCTGACATACTGAGTCAAAGCCAAAGCAAGGAGGGTAAACACTTTCACCTAGGACTCTATAAAAAAAATCTAAAAACAAGTTTTGATTATACTCACTTCCTATGAGTAGAAGGCAGTTTACTAACTTCTCCCTAAACTGTTACTATACTTTTAAAATTTTCCAATAGGGCGAGTGAGTGACTTAGCAAGTAAAGACACTTGCTGCCAAGCCTGGACTACAGAGTTCTATTTCTAGGACCCACATGGTGGAAGAGAGCCTACTCCTAAAGTTGTCCTCTGATCACATGTGTGTGAGCTCACACATGAACGGATTAATACAATTTTCCGTTATTAACGTGAGTCTGTATGTATGCTGTGTGTATGGGGGGTGCCCGGAGGACAGAAGAGATCTGCGGTAGTCAACAGCCAAATACAGGTGCTGCGAACTAAACTGGGTCCTCTATAACAGCAGCCTGTTCTGAACCACTAAACCACCTCTCCAGTCCCAAGAAATGTAATTAAGACAAAAAAAAAAAAAAAAAAAAAAAGTGGACATGGTGGCTAATGCCTGTAACCCGGCACCCTTGGCACTTGAGCCAGGCAGATGAGTTCAAGGCCAGCCTGGTCTACAGAGCAAGATCTAGGACTGGCCCCAAAGCTACACAGAGAAACCCTATCTAGAAAAACCAAATGAGTGAGTGAGTGAGTGAGTGAGTGAGTGAGTGAGTGAGTGAGTGAGTGAGTGAGTGAGTGAGTAAATAAATAAATAAATGGTTGGATGGATGGATGGATGGATGGATGGATGGATGAGTTTCTGGGGGGGGGGAGGCTAGAGAAATGACTCAGTGGTGAAGAGCACAGGCTGTTCTTCCCAAGGACCCAGGTTTGATTCCTAGCACCCACATGGTAGCTTATAACCCTTAACTACAGACAACAGTTTGTAATTCCAGCTCAAGGATCTAATACCCTCTTCTGGCCTCTGTTGATACTGTACACAAGTTCACAGACATACATGAATATCAAACCACTCACACACATAAAATTATAAAATAAAATAAAAAAATTTCAGAGCTAGGCATGGTACACTCCTTTAATCCCAGCATTCAGAAGGCAGAGGCAGGCAAATATGAGTTCGAGGCCAATCTGGTCTACATGGAGTTCCACAGCCAGGGCTACATAGTGAGACCCTGTATCAAAACAAACAAAACAGGAAAACAGGAAGTTGAGAAACAAGTCCCTGTATCAAAACAAACAAACAAACAAACAAACAAACAAACAAGAAAACAGTAAACTGAGAAACAAGTTGAATTATTTGTTTTGAGAGGTCTTGGCAGAGGCAGGAGGAATCTCTGAGTTCAAAGCCAGCCTGGTCTATATAGAGTTCCATGTTTTT